TCCGGATAATAAGGGAAAGTTATAATAAATGACATTCATTTAGTAAAAATTTTCCTCGTCAATAAACCAACTTACTGGGGTAATTTTAAAGGGCATTTATTCCAATTATACCGTAATTTGGTACTTTTGGAACATCAACAAATATAAAATAAATAATATTCCGTCAGTCTGTACGTTAGTGAATTTAGCTGCTCGATCCAAAATGTAGATTCAAACGGAGAAGAACGAGAAAGAAACTCCATTAAAAACTAGACAGTGTATAATATATTTTTCGCTTTAAAAAAATTATTGTAACGACCTCTAAGGTCGCTTATTGTTATTCAGTTATAAAACAAAGTATAATGGATAAGCACTGCTCATGATATAATTCTGCATTCTTGGTGCTATTATGGATTAGTACTTTTTCGGGGACTAAAAAGTGTAAGATATGTCTTATTTGCAACTGCACTATAGCAACATCGCATACAAACAAACCAACTATAAAGCTTAAGATACTATAAAGCTGAAGTATTTGTTTGTTTGAACGCACTAATCTCAGAAACTACTGGCCCGATTTGAAAAAATATTTTTGTGTTGGATAGCCCATTTACAAAACATGACGCTGCGAGGCGCCAAGCAGAGCGGGAGAAACCGCGAAGAAGTAGCTAGCATAATTTAAGAGTATAAGTAGATATAAGATATGGTTTAATAATGTTGTAGGTAGGACTCATACACATGACTATTTATTGAAGTAGATGTAATCTCAAATATTTTCGTGTTTGCAACTAGTCGAGTCACCACGTCAACAGATATGACATTACTTTTAGAAGTCATACAACAGGGTTAAAAGAAAGCAATGTGACAATTAGAATCTAGAACATAATTAAATGCTTTGTGGCCTGCAAAGTCTTGATTCAAAACTATAATACTATCTAGTTCCAGTGTAGTCTAGTCGTAGTAGTATTTGACTGACAAACACCCTAAACTGCGTGGCTTAGTAAGTACCTACTTCTCTGTATTTTAGAAGACTGAGACTTGGTAGTTTCAACGTTTACCCGGACGTCCCGGACCGAGATGGCTCTCTGTGACATAGAGGTATATACGTTTTTGTACACTTACGGTCGAATACTGAAAAGCTACTCAATTTAAATTTTAACTCAAGTATAGTGGCAGTCGTTGCGTATGACATAGGTACTTGAGTTAAACTTCATCATTTTACAAATGATTTGTAGTGACTGAACCATACTGAAGCGCGTCTTAGAACTGAGTTGCCGTTGAGTATTTAGTAGGTACTTTGTGAAAGTAATTTTTATTTTTTTAATGGGGGAAAGTCATCCAATGACTGCTCCCGCCTGGGTGAGGCGGGAGGAAGTGTCAGAGTTAGTCAGTAAGAGACTAAAAACCACCCCGTTCCTTCTACTGCTCATCGAGCCGGAGCCCCGGTTACCCGTTAGGTTCTCCGCGACAAGTAATTATATTTAAGAGTTACTCTATGGTTTGGTTCATAGTCGAGCTGTTAGAGGCACTGGAGATTTTACGATAGATTTTCAAGTGATTTATTTATTTCTAAGTACTAAATAGTAGGTAGGTAATGAAGAAAATTTTATGTGCCATTTGAGAGTGGTATTACTTTTTATAAACGCGTACGGTAGTATCCTAAAAAATGTGCTTAGTAGAAAGATCATTAATAACAACTGGATGCATATTACGTCTTACGCACTACAGAAGAAAAAAGGAATAAACAGTTTTTCACAGCAAACACCCTTTACTTTTAACCCTTATTTGAATTCTCATAGTGGCATACAAGTAGTTCTATTTCCGCTTGAGACAGACATCTAGATGACATTCATATCGCGCTAGACATCTTTCAAAGAGTGCCTCGAATACACGATACAGTCATACAGTAACTATCTGAATGGAAGGCCAACACAAACGATTGGTTTCTACTCTTTCATGTTCTAAGCATTTTCAATTTTCAAAGGTTTTCCTACGACATTTTTCTTTTATAAATGAACATTTCATAATATTTTCTCTTTTAGCTATCAATTTGTGGACTGTGCTAGTGAAATGCTCTCAGTTTTCACGATTTTCAGTTGGTTCTTTTATTATTGAGTGCCTTGTAAACAGTGTTAAGAGGTTTGTGTCCTTATCCATACTTTACTCGGCACGACTACTTTATTTTTGTATTGTACAAAAGTACAACATATGCCCTAATGCCCATCTAGATGTCTCCCTCTTCTTTACCAATTTGTCTGTAGCTGTATGTTATTTAAAAAAGGACAACCCATTGACAATTATTTTTCCAGTTTATTTATCTTTTACCTATATTATAAAAATGGAGCATTTATGATATTACGAAAATACTACACAAAGGTTCAGCGGATCTTTTATAAGTCGAGTAAAACCGTTTGCAAACGCTTGTTAATCTATGTATAGAACAATAGCAGGAGCGTCTTCAGATTCAGAACACAGCAGTAGGTATTCTGTTCCTCGGTGAATAGTCATTATGTATTACAACGGTATACAATGACATCATCTGCTGAGCTAACAACGTAGGGTCACTGAAGGACACGACATATTATCTAACAGCTTATACAAATTTAATCATACCATGAATAATTGTGAAGGAACATATTGTTGTTAAAACTATCCACTACAAAAGTCATCTAAATATTATACTTATGTACTAGCCTACAGAGTTCGGTATCCCAAAACATCAAAGTTAACTATTGGCGAATACTGTACGCGCACATAAGAGTTTCAGGAAATCACTTCATAGGAAACCTATTCATTAAATACTAAAGAAAATCGCAGCTTTCTGTATCCACTAGTTTAAATGGTCAGATGGGTTGAGTGGTCTGACAGTCACCTAATATCTTAATACTTTAAACTTACGTAATTCAAAAATACACATTCGTATTACATACACTCATTCACTCAACATCTTTATAAGCCATTACTAAAATAAAGGTATGCGTGTTAGTTTATTCAGGTAAACACTCAAAGTTTTCAGTTTAACGCCTGCCTTTTACGGGACTGAGATGTGTTACTAACTCGACAGCAATTTGTGCTCTCCTAATTGGAATGTGTACCTTCGACGCCACTCGATTCCCATCTCATGCTTTCGAATCACTAAACTCCATTTCTTGGTCTGACAACCCTAGCCTTTAATTAACACAGATTTAAACCAATTTTAAATCAAATTATCGTACACGCTTATCGTTTAAGGCCGAATAGTTGATTGATAAATTTATAACATTAATATAATGTCAATCATAACATGTTCATGTAAGCATAAACAATTAAGACATAATCATGCGACGTCGCTTATATACCTATTTGTAATAAATATACATAAAAACGATAACCGATGTTCATAAAAGTTGTCAACTTGTATAATAACAACTTAGTCGACCTTAATTGCAAAACCACGACTAAGTTGTTATAAATAAAATTTGAATGCAAATAATAACCGTTTACATATAAAGGAAAATGTGCTTTAAAAACTGCTTTTGAAATGGAAGATATTCAAATTAAATTATGTGAGAATAAAGAGACGTAGGAACGGAGATTCCATCCTTAACGGGGCTGTGTAGTGTGTTCCCGGGTTTGTATGTTATTGTTGGCGTTAAAGTTGATACGTAAGCCATAGACTATAGTGTTTAAATTTAATCAAATCTATGTATATATAAATGAATTTCTGTTCGTTACTATCGCTAAAACTCGAAACGGCTGAACCGATTTGGCAAATTTTGGTCTTGAAATTTTCGTGGAAGTCCACAGAAGGTTTAAAAGGTAAGAAAGTAGGTAGTATGAATATAATTATTTACCAAACGATTTACCATTGTAAATGATTGGAACAAAAATAATTTGCGAGTTAAACCCATAGTATTTGTAAAAGGAATTCTATAAAATCGGGTCAAAAAGACAGTATACAGACGGCGTAAACATGCAAGTCCAAACATGCAATATCTTATCTCATGGTAGGGGCCGGGATTCAAGTTATCTTGTGTACCTACCGGATATTTCGAATCAAAAATATATAAATAATTTATTGCCAAAAAACGATAAACAGATTGAAGACGGCTGAGTAAATACGATCAAAGTAACCGTAGTAATCACTAACTGCTACTGTGATTATCCTTATCATGGGACATGTGGTCAAATAATAATATCATTACGCCGATAGTCTTGTCGGCTAATGGGTTAATCCCTCGCTCCCTAAGGCCTCGACATCCAGCTAAGGAGGCTGGCGTTTGGTTGATGGATCAGGGGCCTGATACAGAAGGCATTTCTTCTAGAAACGGCACGTATCGTGAGGAGTATTCTGTCTTTGGAGCCCTAACCACCGGTAGCTTGGACCACGCTCCCGTTACTGGTCGGCTCGTTTAAATATTATTAAATTTTTTTGTTAAGTAGTATTTAGAATTGTAATATATAGAAAATTTTAAATAAATATATGATAACTAGCTGACCCGGCAAACTTTGACCGCCTAAAAATTTCTTTTCTCACCTTTGTAAGGTACAACCAACCCTGGACTTCCACGACGAACATTTCAAGACTAAAGTTAGCCAAATCGGTTCAGCCGTTCTCGAGTCTTAGCGAGACTAACGAACAGTAATTCATTTTTATTTATACAGATAGATACTGATGGCATTACAATATATTTTTGTAATTACATGTCGTACCAATGTTGTAAAACATCCCTCTAGATGCTATACTAATTATAAACTTAACATTTTAATGTAATCAAACTCGTAAGTCGATAGTACCTAACTAAATTACGTAAACGATGCTAGGTTGGAATATTGACTAACCCGACGTAAAAATACATGTACAGTCTCGACGTGACATTATTACCTACATGGAAGACTCCACGTGCATTATTGATACTGTAAGCAACATATTAGACCTTAAACAGGTCTTTGTACGATGTAAAGTTCCTTGACACCGCGAAAGCATGGAGATAACCTAGTTATCTAATTTAGTGATAAGAAAGAATTCATAAATAATTACTTACAGTTGTTCCAAGTGCTCGAGTCCCTGGAACACGTCTTGCTCGATGTATTGGATGCGGTTCCTGTACAGGTACAGGTACTTGAGCTTGCGGAGTCCATGGAAGGTGCCGGAGACCAGTTGTCGTAGTCGGTTGTCGTTGAGCAGCAAGGAGCGCAGCGAATGCAGGTGGGACAGCACTCCCGGCTCTATGTCCGTGATCTTGTTGAAGCGTAGGTCCCTGCGAGAATACAAAATTGGTTACATCGTTACCATTCCATATTGTACCTTATAACGTATTTTAGAAGTCAACATCGCTCAAGTTTGAAATTGAATCGGAAATTGTTTTCATCGAAACTGCGTCAGAACTGACGGGCATGAGAAAACTAGACAAAGATTCGAAGTGCAAAGTTTACAACTTGGCCAAAACCACCCAACAACTGCCTTCTTATATATGTACAGGTACTTAGTACCAGCTTCGCATATACTTGTAACTTGCAAGGTAATTGAAATCGGTTATTGTTGGATCGGGTATTATTAGATTGAAGATTCACTTTGCTAATTGGAAGTAGATATGTATTGATCTACGGACGTATAGTGTCGACACTGATCTTAGAAGTGCAGGACGTGTGACCGACATTGAATGACAAGTACTAAACTTGGATTTCGTTGTGGAGAAGATAGGAAGCTCACACGTGAACGATTCACGTTTTGAAAGTATGAAACTAGAAAATGCCGTCTTAGGATCATACTAAGTAATTATTTGCCATTGCTTTGTCTCTAATCCTAATGAAAACCAGCGCAACAGTTTGTCAATTTTAAGGTTTAATCATGGTACCATATTTATAAATGTTGTGCAACATTCTCAAATCCATACAAGATTATGAAAACATTAAAAAATGTAATTACCTTCACATGGTACATGGGAAAACATCGTATTTGCGAAGTTTTTACGAATGGTTAAGAAGAATGTAGAGGAAGAAAGAACAGAACACATTATAATTAATATACCAGTCAAAATCATAACTCTCATTTTTGGTTCCCCGTAGTCAGATAAAAATTAGCGTATAGTCATATAAGGCATAAATAAACAAACTTACATTCCTTCCCTTTGTCTCATTAAAGCTCGGGTATTCGTCGGTATTACTGGCATGCATGTAGCTATTGTAAGATGTACGTGTATCAAATAACATAGGTACACGCAGACTCAGTACAATAGCAACAAAATTAACTTTGAATTCCATCATTTAGATGTTTTCAACGATGTATTCCGGTAATGAACAGGTTCTGTTGCATTGTGTCTACGATTATAAGTAGTTCTATTTACTCCTAAACTTGGATTCGGTCAAAAAGTTATAGTCCGGTACAATCCTTGAATATCTTCACTTATCTATGTAAATGTTTAAAGTTAGTCAAGTTATGCGCCAGTACTTCGGTAGGTAAGTAAGTCATAAGTTAGCTTAGCTAAACTGTTCCAAAACTGATCAGGACCCCGGGTTCAGGGTTGTTAATGAGGGGTCGGGCACAGGTGTGTTCTTACACGATGAGGACTATAAACATACCAAATATTGATCGTTATGACGGATAACTGGTGTATAAATGACTGTAGACACACTACACACAACGTTTGGCAAAAGTTTAAAGAAAAGGAACGCGACGAGTGGCCCTACGTGGAACCAGTTCTGTTCAGTATTAAAGGTTCGTTTTATTTTTATTTTGAGTTCGAAAGGCTCAGCGCGTTCCCTCTCCGACTATCCTCGTCAGTTAGTATTGCGTAATTTAATAAACGATCTTACATCGTTCCTTCCGCATGAATTCACGTAAACAACGTGTCATGTGAGATATAATATGGTATAGAATGAACTTCTAAACACGTTGCTTTAAGTTATCCGTTTCATTGCACTTGTTGCTCTGAAGTCTTATATAAAAGCTTCTTGAGCGTGAGCATTTAGCAACATGAAAACTTTTGCTTGAAAATGGCGCTATATAAAATGTTACCCAAAGAAATTTTCTGCACTTCCACACTTTTTATAGTCTTCCAATACCAAACCAGAGAATTATTGGTGCAATGTTATTTTACGAAGCTGTGGGAGAATATAATATATATACCCACTGATTATTCCCTTCTCTGTACATTTCAATACAACATCTCAATATTTAACTTATGTAGATTTATCCTTAGATAAGAACAAAATGTTACTGTAGAAGATTTAACTACTTATTAAGTAAAAATTTAAAGGATCTGTGAGAATGTCAACCTTACAACTAAAACCTTCACATGTCATATAGGTACCTATTTGAAATTCATTGTCTTACTTTATTAACAAGAGATATTTATTCGACAACGCAGGTGTGATTCATCCGTAAAATATGTTGCATTTTTATCGTAACTTGAACATATTTTATTATCTTATTCAGCTTTATCAATATGTCTGTACATCTATGTAAAATATTTCTAATGAAGTATAAGAATAAGTCTTCATAACAGAGACTTTAGATATACCAATAATTCAGTTCCTATAAATATATGGATACATATTTCAAACAGCAAAGTGTTCACACCTTATAAACGTAGTCTGGAATATTCTGAAGTGAAGCACCGATCGGGCTTCGTTGATTGTCATGTCTAGGAGCATTGAATCATATTTCTAGTTGTCGCGACTTAGACTTTGAATTTTGAATGCGAGTTTCACCTCCCAACTACCTAGGGAACATTTATATAGTAAGTTCATGGCCGGTTAGCTAAGGCGGCCCGCTTTACGGGACCCCTTTTCTGCATCTCACAAAGCTTTGTTGACGACAGAAGCTAAAATACCCATGTACATACTTATTTCTATAATTATAGTCATAGTACGGCCTTTGTGTAAGTTTTAAGGAAAAGGAATAAGAATTATTATTTTAGGTACTTGTCCAGATATCATCTGAAGACAAATATTTTCTTAGAAGGCAAGATCTGAATGGTATCCGTACGTCTCTAAGCACTGTTCACCAAAACACACCTAGTATACCCTAACTCGATAGTTATATATCTCAATCTGAACAATAATTAGTTACATCAATCAATTAACACTTTGCTAATTGAATTACAAACGCCACTAATTTAATGTTATTCCGAAATGTCCAGCGTCCAAGTTATATCTGTAGGTGTTAAGTCACTGGATGTTGCAATTCCATTCACCCTCATTCATTACAAGTAGTTAGGTAAACGGTTATCAGATGAGACCCTGGCTTTACTTTGTATATCTGGAACCTAGTCACTAACTAGATATCTGCCATCTAGGTGGTAGTTCGTGCACACAAATTGCAGACGACCACTGAAGTGAATTCGCTCTTAGGAAATACTTGATGCCATTAAAACTTATCTGATTATTAGTTGTTATTGAAGAGCACTGGGTATCGAAGTTTGTTCATACTTTTCTGTATCAGATTTCCACTGAATTTTATTTACAAATAGGTATCTCAACTTTTGAAAGCGTATCTAGGTACAGGCAACTAGGTTCTCGATACTTATTGGAGTTTGAAAGAAGGCACTTGGAATATAATTATGAGTTTTCGCATCAATCTCAATACACAATTTATCTCGTTATAGTGCACGTAAAGGTAGAAGGTCACTCCATACCAGTCGTGCATTTAGATAGGGGTCTTTATATCTTTATACTACTCATGAGGCTCTCTTACTCTTGTTTAACCTACGCTATCGTGTCCAGTAATTGATGGAAACAAGCTGATAATGATGGTAAACAAAACACCAAATTTCATCTCGTCCCCTCTGCCGTTTAGATGTGAATAAGTATAAACATACAGACAAACTCACAAACTTCTTTATAATATCTAATTTTACAATATTATACATATAATGCGGAAGAGTTTGTTTTTTTGTTTGTTTGAACGCGCTAATCTCCGTAACTACAAGTCTGATTTGAATCGTTTTTTGGTGTTGGATAGCACATTTATCGAAGATGGCTATAGGCTATAAAACATCACGCTACAACCAATAGGAGCTGAGCACAGCGTGTGAAACCGCGCGGTAGATGAAGATAAAGTAAAAGTTAAATACACAATTACCACAATTTGGTACCAAAATGCAGTAAAATAAAAGAACATAATATTCGCAACAGCACATACCAAGACCAATAAAATGTCATAACATTTTACCAAAATCCACGAAGTACAACCTTCGATGGTGAGTAATGTAAGTAACATCAAGATAAAACAAACAGGCCGTGCCGATTCAACTCCACTTGTTTGTAGCGAGTCTCAGCTCAGCAGTCTGAACGTCTGAACACTTTAGAAAAGGAACAAGGGCGCCGAGTGCATCACTCTTTGACTCATCCCGAAGTAAGTGACACACTGCCATCGGTCTTGTAAGACCTCGATAATCTTTACTACTTCCTTCTACACAAGATTATTAATCAATTAGATAAGTCTATTAGATCTGTAATCTCTTCAAATGATGATCATATCATTAGGTAATAAACCATAGTTCGGTTTACATAAACTACATTCAGTAGCTCATTTATTGATTAATTTATTTCATTACCTAACTATGATTGATGATGTCCGAATGATACTAATTATTGGCTCATAATATGGTGTTAGTTAAAGCGTATGATACGACTGATGATTTAAATTTTATATAACGTCCGTCTGGTATATTAATTGTGAGTAAAATGACGTCATCAACACATTACTGCACTGTTGGCGCGGTGGTTGGGCAACTGACTGCCGCGCAACGTGTCGCGGTTTCGATTCCCGCACGAAACAACTCTTTGTGTGATCCACAGATTGTTGTTCTGGGTCTGGGTGTCATGTGTATGTGAACTTGTATCTTTGTAAACGCACCCACGATACAGGAGAAAATCCTAGTTTCGCAACGTTTTAAATAAAATACAAGTACATACATAAATAACAGTTTATTTGTTCGTAAAATTTAACAATAAATAGACAACTGAGTAAAAGAACAAACTTACCTAAAAAAAAACTAATCATTACAATAGGTACTGAATAAAGATTTGAATCACAAAAACAATTTCTTGAACAAGTAGCGATGAAAATAGAATAAATCTTCCATCCTTACAAATAACAAATTCTGAGTGTATTTTTGATATTTTTCTCGTTACTTCGAGTTGATTGTAGCTTCGGAATAGTGAAATCGACAAAAGTGCTCAACACCTACTCTTTGGAAGTACATCTCTAGTATTTGCTTGCAATGCAGTCTGAAGAAGGCCAGCTGGCAATTTG